TCAGATACGAAAATTTCGTTTCAGTAGCACTTTAATGCATGGTAGACTCTTTGCTAAAAGAAAACAAAATGTTGCCCAAGAAGTTCGGCTGAGGAAACATTTATTATTATTATTACTATTATTTTTTTTGTTTAACCCAACCAGCTGGCCTGTGCTCAAAGAAGACTGTAGGATTCTCGGGATTTTAAGCTCCCGGAACTCGTTTGTTGAAAGCGCATTACTTTGAGCCAAGCATCTGTCTATTGACGTGGTAATACTAAACTGGTCGGTGATGTTGAACTAAAATAATTTTGTGCGTCAAAATGAATTTTATCTTGAGGAGTTTAAGGTTATTAATTAATCTCGATTTTAAGGCCAGAAACTCTCTACAATATGTTCCGCGCCCATGGTTACTGCTTAGTTAAGTATCGAGAATGAAAAAATTTGATATTAGGAAAGAATTACTGCAGATGGTCTTAATCTGGCACAAATATAAGCCTGAAGAGTCGTCATATGTTTCTCAATTAAATGTATGTTTTTGCAGAACTGCTATTTACTGTCGATTTTTAGTACAACAAAACCTCTTTGGTTATCGTTTTATTTTCCTCGGGATAGATATAGACATTTATTTACTGATTACTCAGTCTCTATTTCGACTGATAGGCATCTTTGTGTATGGAAATAACATTAGAGAACAAACACACGTTTTATCATATTTCATTTAAGTAACGGAGAACTACCCAGTCGCAAGTTCTGATCGACTTATCTATTTTTTTTTTTTAGGAGAAGTTTTTCAGATATCTTAGCAGCAACCGAGCTTTTTGTGGGCTGGATAATCTTTCTGAATCAAAGTTTATCTTAATTTTTTTAAATTCTCTAAGTGGGTGGCCAGATATTATTTTTTTTCTACACGGATGCTATTTTAAGAAAAACAATACAGAAATGGCGACTTTTGAACTGCAAGATGTTTTCCCTTCGATTGGAAATCTATTGATTTCAATGAAATTTTCCGCTCATAAGATTTAGAATCTTATTGTAAGATTCTAAACGTGAAATTATTTTTTTTAATAACCCTGATCTGAATATGGAAACTAATAACACATTCCTAAACGTCTGAAAAATTTATAAATTTCATGTTTTTGCTATTATTTCGGCCAACGTTCATCTCAAATGAACTTTTCCAGTAGGTCTTAAGTTTAGTCTTAAAATGCGTAAAACCAAAAATGTGGCTGTTTTTTAAAACTGAAAAGTTTCAAGTCGCATCAAACTGGACATCTGGAGACAAAGGCTTCTAAAAGTGAGAACTTTTCTACTTATACTGTATGAACTCCGTGTTTCAGGCTACGTGGCAAGTATTGTTAATGCTGTCTTTTATCTCAGTTCCCAAAAATTTCTTCTCGAGGAAAAAATGTTTTGACAAAAATTCATTAATGTCAGTGTAAGTTTTCACAACATTGTAAGTTCACTTTACTTCGTGTAGATTCCGAATGTTTTTTTCTAAATAGAAACACCGAATGAAATTTTACGTGCCAACTGGCCACAAATTGTTCCTTATCATCTCGAAACACCAGAAATAGCTGGTGAAATTATTACCAGATAAACAGATGCAAAACAAATATAAACAAATGATGAGCTAAATTATCTATCTATATTCGGGTGCGCTAATGTTTTCAAACAGTGAGAAAACAGCTTAAACGACAAGTTTACTCTTTGGCTGACACGCAACAGTCAAATTTCAGTTTTTTTAGAGATTTAGGAGGGACCCTACTTTTCAGATTGTGATGAAGGTACAGTACATCGTAAAGAATAAGTTTCTCTTTGACTTTTCTAGTTTTTGCATCTTTATGTAGTACTCTCAGATATTAAGGGAGGTACAGTACATCGTAAAGAAAAAGTTTCTCTTTGATTTTGCATCTTTATGTGTACCCAAAAGGAACTCCAAAAAGAGCAAAATATCAGTAACTTGTTACTAATTTTTCATTCCTTGCTAAAATCTCGGGTTTTGAGCGAATTGAAGCTTTGTTTCGACTTTCGGTGTCTGTGAAAACAGTGATAGGCTATTCTTCGAATTCATCTGAAACCATGCTGTTAGCATCATCTTCTTGTCATTTTAAATTAATTCGTAAACAACTTTACCACAGGCTCTCGTAAAAATTAGAGACACGCGTCGTGTCTTAAGCAATTAAGGCCACAAGTAAGCCCACAGGCATCAGCTGGGAGGCCAAATGTAATGCTGAGTATGTTTTAATAATTAACCAGCGGGATCCAACAAAAAGAAGTCTGTTGGGTATCTATACCTGTGGATAAACACGCCAGCCAATAAAAGCCAAGATCAGTAATAAATACAGTGGCAGATAAACTCAAATAAAGACGTCAAACAAAACATGTTTTGACTAGTGTAAACCAGTGAAAGAGCGAAGACCTTTTGAAAGAGATACGAAGGCAAGTGTTTTAATCATTTTACAGTCGACATTGGAAAGGTAGATTCGAACGCTTTCTATTATGTTGTTTAAGACGGACAAATACGTCGTAGTTATTCACTTTTGCGAGTCTTTCACCAACTCAGTGGACATGCAACTTATTTGGAAATTTTATCTTATCAGTTTCGCGTAGATCATGCCTGGTAAGAGCAAAGAGGGCGAGAAAGTCAAAAACTGTCAAAAAGACTTTCTACAGTCCTCAGTATGCGACGTACCTACCAATAATTCTAATTTTCTGTCGATTGTAAGCTTTGACGGAAAGGTCAGGCGGAAATTTTCGATTAAAAAAATTTCTAATCCCCTAGCTGAAATTTCGAGTTCTCTTCAACTCGAATTCAGAACGAAAGATGCTATTTTAAGCCATGGTTGCAATTATATTTATAGTCGAGTCCTGTGAGCCGCATCTTATCTATATTTCAACGATAAAGATCATTTTAATTGAGTGCCGGGGAGTTCATAGCAATTATTCACTTCAAAGAAGATTTCTGAGTAGTGCACTACCCTAACATGACTACGTGAATTTTCCAGCGTTATCTTGAGATAGGACTGTAACCTTTTGGCGAAAAAAATGTTTCGTGCTTGTGTAAGAGATTTGTCCCTCAGTCAGTTTGCCTGCTTAAGCGACGTAATAAATTCATTATGCTTTATTTGTTTTCCACCTTTCTAACCCTCCGTAAAAACAAAACATTCCACGATTTTCGAACTATCGGCAATTTTCTAAGATAACTGTATGATTCATGTATCCTAAATTTGTAGATGAAGTAGGTAGGTATCAATTCTAGCTCCGCGTGTTCTCGTAATTAAGAGAGGATTGTCAGGCATTTTATCCTATAGACACTGGCTAGTATCAAATTTTCAACGTCTCTCTTCAACGATTACTAAGAAAGCGGATTTTTTTAAAAATATAAAAGATATATAAAAAAAGAAGATTTAATTTCTTCCCGTGACGCTTCATAATTCAAAATTAGCGCAAATTATTTCAAACTCAGTTCTTCAATTCGTAGGAAAGAAATCTTTTACATTGCGTGTATTTATGTATGGTAATATGTAATGATGCTACATTTTGTCTCGCCTGAAAATTACAAATCGGGATTAGCACGTTCCTTCGGAATCTTTATTCTATTGTGTGTTTTTCTATGAGTTATGATTCTAGTCGAGTTATTGGGGTAGACTTTTGTCCTTGATCAGTTACCTAATCTGCAGCTGCCGTTGTTGTGCGTAGTGAAATAGTTTGAGATACGTGATAAATTTAGCATCTTTCTTATTCATTATTCCCAGGACGCTTTCGGATTGCTCATCTTTTGGAGTGCACAAGACGTTTGCTATATACGAACTTACTAATAACTTGTTTAGCTTTTGCGTGCATTTGTGTCACTGATTTTACAGGCCTTATTTACATTTCTCCTCCTGACAAAACCTCTGAAACCAAGAGAGCCAAGTGTGTTTGGTTCTAAAATACGGTCACTACAGTACTCCGGAAACCACATAATGAAGATCAAATCTCTTTGAATTTGGAAATTTTCTAAGTTTTATCTGAGCTTTGATCGTGTTTTAGGTCTGCGCCAGGATTGTGGTTTGCTAGATCATAGTTAGTAGAGGGCTAGACCTGACTGTGTAATTATTTGTTAAACCTTCTTCGCTTACTCGATTCCTTTTTTATGGCTATTGCATCATATGAGTGAATAAGGCCCAACTCAAACGTCGAATTTCACATGTGCCGAGCTTAACTCCTATTTTAGTGGACTAAAATAGTTAAATAGGGCATTTGATTCAAACGTCGAATTTAACTCAGTCGAATTTAACTCTGTTCGCTGTCGATATTCCCAGGCGCACTATTTATTTGCTCGACGAAGACATCTATTGAGCGTTTGCTTAATTGCTTCACTGATGCTCTTGTTTTGCTGTTTGTTTTTGCTTCTTTATCTTGGCTTTCCGCCATGATACTTTCACTTGATTCACGTTCCATCATTTCATTGAAACACGACCCAAAATACTCAGAGTTTCCTACTTTCTACCCAGGAGTGCCCTCTTTGTTTTCAAAAACCGAACACCTCATACAAAAGTATATACCGCACGTCAAACAACTGCATTTTGTCTTTTCAAAGCAAGAACTACAAATTCCTTCATCTCCGATCATTATTTGTGCTGTTTTGGCTTTTTCTCGCATGGCATTCGTGGATAATAAATGAATGATAAAAATTTCCTGTAATTCATGCATTAAGTTCGGCACATGTTTGAATTAAAAGTCGAACCTAAGTCGAATCTTCGACTGTTTCAGTCGCAGATACGGCAAAAGTCGCATTTAATTTAAAACAGTCGAATTTAATTGATTCAAACGTCGCACTTCACATGCATTTAACTCTCACATTAAGTTCTGCACATGTGAAATTCGACGTTTGAACCGGGCCTGAGTTACCCTGCTGTCAGAGGCGTTTATTTGTTAACTTCCCCTACGGTCCACGTAAAAATAAAGTCCTCTGCGCTCGGCCTGTTAAATCTTCTCCGAGCATGCGCCTGGGAATTATACAAGTTTGTGGATAATCTGATTTGCAAAACCGGTCAGAACCTGCTTTAAACACGTTTTTATGCGCACGTATCCTATTTAGCTATAAAGTTGGCCGAGAACTACCGGGAACTAATTTGTTTCTAAGCAACAGGCCGCGCATGCTCGAAGAAGATTTAACAGGCCGAGCGCAGGGGACTTTATTTTTACGTGGACCGTTGGGGAAGTTAACAAATAAACGCCTCTGCCCGTAGGGTAGGCCTGAGTGGCACAACTCAGCCCATACAACGAAATCTACCGAGTTTTACCCGATATTCCTCGCTCTTGGTTTTTGTTTGTTTTGGAACGTCTTCGGTCATTCAACGCTTGGTGACGATTTCTGCGGGTCGCTTCGAATGTTACTCGAGATTAGCACATGATCACGCTGTTTCCCGGTGTTACTTATTGTTTGATTTGAAGTACTACAGAAGACGTTAAACATCTCACAATCATTTCAGGGTGGCGCGTTGAAAAAACAAAGCTTTACCTTGCAGAAAAGTCTCAATAGGACCCAATAGGTGTGATAGAAGCATCATGAAAAATTAGAGAATAAACTTACGGTGGCCAATTTACAATTTCAGCTTAGTTGATATAACCGAATTACCTTAGAGAATAAAGTGTTTTCTTTGAAGAGAGAGTATTTTGCTGTTTGAATCAACGAATTATGTTCAGTAGGTTCGAAGATATAATTTTTTCAGTTCTTTGCCTTGCCACCACAAAAGATGCTAAACATCTCAAAATAATTTTGACTGTTGCGTCTCTGGCACGTAGTTGAAAAAAAACTTTTCCTTGCAGAAATATCTGAATAGGTTTGATCTGTACATCGTGGAAACTTTAGAGAAAATTTAATTTATTCAAAAAGAGAGCGTCTCACCATTTCAATCGGCGACTAATGCTAAAAAACCGTCAAATTTGCGAGGCGAGCAATACCTTGAGTTTAACGGGTGACGCTATTCGATGGAATGATGGAACAGTGGAATGGCGGAATGTCCTACAACGTGGAATACCTTCTTGTACGAAACAAAAGTCTCACAAACATAGAATTGCAATGAAATAAGAGAGTAATTTATAATTAACAGGCAAATCAAAATTAAAAGTAAAGAAGCCATGTTTAATCATCATGGGTGCGCAGCCAAGAGGGGATTGACCGATAGAGAAGGAACGGTGAGCTTCTTGAGCTAGCCCCTTTAAGTTATCATTGCTATTACTCAAACAACAACAAACATATGAAACATATGTGTGAACTGCGGTTATGAGACGTATATGAGAACGATCCTTCGCAGTAAAGCACTATTTGAGCAATAGTGAAAATCAGACCTGAAAAAAATTTCAGGCCTGTACGGGATTCGAACCACTGACCTCTGCGATACTAGTGCAGCGCTCTACCAATTGAGCTAACAAGCCAACTGGGAGCAGGCCATCAAATTAATTCGATATAAACCCGTAGATGATAAATCAAACAACAACAAACATATGAAACATATGTGTGAACTGCGGTTATGAGACGTATATGAGAACGATCCTTCGCAGTAAAGCACTATTTGAGCAATAGTGAAAATCAGACCTGAAAAAAATTTCAGGCCTGTACGGGATTCGAACCACTGACCTCTGCGATACTAGTGCAGCGCTCTACCAATTGAGCTAACAAGCCAACTGGGAGCAGGCCATCAAATTAATTCGATATAAACCCGTAGATGATAAATCAAACAACAACAAACATATGAAACATATGTGTGAACTGCGGTTATGAGACGTATATGAGAACGATCCTTCGCAGTAAAGCACTATTTGAGCAATAGTGAAAATCAGACCTGAAAAAAATTTCAGGCCTGTACGGGATTCGAACCACTGACCTCTGCGATACTAGTGCAGCGCTCTACCAATTGAGCTAACAAGCCAACTGGGAGCAGGCCATCAAATTAATTCGATATAAACCCGTAGATGATAAATCAAACAACAACAAACATATGAAACATATGTGTGAACTGCGGTTATGAGACGTATATGAGAACGATCCTTNCTGCGATTTTTTTTTCTCATATACATTGCTATTACTGTTATTATCGGTATTATCATTTTTTTTAATATCATTATTATTATTATTATTATTATTATTATATTTTATTTTTTTTTTAGTGCTCTATTTGAAGGATTTCAGTAATTGTTCGCGCCAAAATTTTTTTACGTGACATTGTTGTGTGGCATGCGGTTTCGTTTTTGTTTTGTTTGTTTTACTCTCGCCATTCTGTCTAGAGTTTGTCGTGTAGTTCGTTGCGTTTTTTTATCATGCTAAAATCGAACGTACTCGTCGTCCTGAATCCTCGTTAAATCGCCGGAACAGTAATCGAGACGAATAATCAGAGGAAAAATTTCAGCTTTTTTTTCACCGATCATATGTCACGAGGAAATCGTATCTGCCGATCCGATCAATTTGCGCAAGCTCTTCAAATGAGATTGAGCCAGAATACACTAAATCTTTTTTTTCTCAGCGCAGTGAGAACTACTGGTTCTACCAGTAATTGTGTATTTTTTTAAAGTCATTATTACAATTATTATCATTCTTCTTCTTATTATTATTTTTTTTATTATTATTATTATTATCAGTTCACTGAAAGAAAAAAAACATTTTTTTTAGCTTTGCTGATTTGCTTGCGTCACTTTCAAATAGGATGGTTATTTTTTTGATGTCGGTTGATGGCAAATAATGGAGTCAATAAATGCCTAGGTTTCTTTCTGTCTTGTCATAATTTGACAAACCACCAACAATGAAGTTGTGTTTTTTTCTTAAGGTGGCTTTCCTCTTCTGTACAATTTTTTACTTTAAAAAAATGATAACCGTTTGGCCAAATTTCTTGCTAAACAGATACATTTTCACAGAGCCCACACAACCTGCAACCCATATAGATTGTGGCTCAATAACTTGCTATTTTTTTATTTGGTATTTCTTCAAACCAAAACCTTAAGGAAAATCTAAATTTTTTTTTCATCAACTCCCACCTAGGCGGAAACTCATCTACAAGGCAAGCGTTTAAAACTAATGGAGCAAACCAAATTATTTTTGTATACACTACCACAATTTTTTTACAAATATCAATTTTAGAACCAAAATCTGTATAAATAAATAATTTTTTTTTAATATTAATATTAATTATTTATTATTATATTAATAAATTATTTTTTTTTACAACCGGAGGCGAAGAATACCAAAGAAGGAGGAGGAATGACTTTTTTTTATGTTTTTATGATCCATAAACATTTTCAGGCTTTAGGAGTTAGTTTTTTTATATTCGTTATCTTTTTCATTGGACATAAAACGTATCAATGGAAAAAGTTGTACAATTTGATGTAATATTTGTCAAAGTAACGTCGTAGATCACCTATTCAGAATTTCTTGGATCTTTCGTCTGCTGCCCTCGTCAATTCTTTTTTTTTTATTAATGAGACTTTGTAATGACGTTATGCAAATGACACGGCTTTTTTTTTTTTTGACATTAGGAGGCATTCAGTCAGACGGCACAAACAAAGTGGGCTTTACCTTGGCCGTAGTTTGTCCTCGAAAAGAAGTGGATGTTGACTTTTTTTTTCGGGTGAGAGTATAAAGAGATTTGACGTACCAACTCAAAAGTTTTTTTTCTTTTAATGGGTTTAAAACTTTAAACGAACTCTTTTGTTTTGCCAAACGAACGCGTCACTTTAATTCTGTGGAAGTGACATTCAAATGTGGTCGATAAACGTTCGCACATGGTTGTGCTAAATGTAGAAAGTGTTTTTTGATGGAAAAAAAAGTGAGTGATTGCTGACAATCTTGAATTGAAAGCCTTACCTATTTTTTTGCTCTCTCCCAAGACCTCTTAATTTGTAGTTTGGTTTTTTTCTTTTAAAAGACATCTCTAATCCCGGAATAGTTTGTACATTAAAGTTAAGGGTCACTTCCAGCTAAGTAATCATTTTCTGTATGTTGTTTTTTTTTTCGCTTTTTTTTTAGAGTTTTTTTCCGACAGTAAGGTTTAAAAAATATCGAGAGATGTTTTTCTCATTTAGCTGATAGTATCAAAGATTTATCGTCACAATCGCTTCCAAATCAGACAAAGAAATTTAAGGAACAAGTAAGTTAAGCGATACAGAATTTTTTTACGTATACATGAGAATCCCTTATTATAAATAAACATGGTATTCGGTTCTGAGACGAAAAGGTTTCTGGCCAGAAGGGCCTTAAAAGCTTCTTTTTTTTTTAAGAAATAATCAATAATATTCCTGAAAGGATGTTAAAAATTGTCATGTCATGGAAATTTATCTTACATCAAGGCGGTCCAAGTATGATTTAAATTTTTTTAAGTAGCTAAATAAAAGACTCCAAAGTACAGTTCCATCATTTTTGTGGCCCCTACTTCGTATAGGAGGCGAAGCCACATATGTTTTTCACATTGTTGCTAATGGTCTCTTTGGTCAGAGACAATAGAGGCAGTTTTTTTCTCTTTTTTTTATTTTAATGATAGCAAACTTCATTAACATATGGGATTTCAATTTTTTTTTCAAACAGAAGAAACCAAAGATAAAGTTATCCGTGCTATTTGTATTTTTTTTAAATGCTTGGTTGCATGAGATATTTAATTTGTCTGTGGACGATTTTTTTAGTCAATTAAAACAGAGTTAACGGAATTTTAGTTTTTTTCTAAGCATCCGAGGCCATGAAAGATGGAAAGATCACATTAATTTTTCTTTTTGATTTTTTTTCCAAAAGAAAAAAACTAAGTAAAATCACAAAAGCGGAAACCTTTTTTTTCTAGACGATTTCCAATCATAGATAGAATGACCTTGACAGTTGAAATTAGAAATTTTAAATAACGAAAACTTTTACTTGACCATTAACAAGAAATTTTTTTCGTTACTTGTTACAAACACGATTCACCGTTTGTTTGTTGGTTGTTTTTTTTTACGAAACAATTACAAGCATTGACCCGGCAAAAAGTCATATCGGTAATAAAATAATTAATTCTCTCCTGGCCTCGTTTGTTCGGTCAAAATAAACATTTTCAGCGCTATTGAAAGAGAAAGTAATACTGGATGTCGGAACTAACATCAAAGTTAAATGAAGTGCTATTTATTTTCTTGACACTGAATACTCTTTTTTTTGGCCAATCCCTAAGATCGTGTTGTCGTGAAAAGGCAGGTTTTTTGAGGGATTTGTGCTGTATGAAAGAGAAGTTGGTTGCGTGCACATTGCGTTTTTTTTCTTTCCCTTGGGGTTCAGTTTGACATGCCATAGATCTCCTTACATCCTTGCACAGTCGGTCCTGGTTAACATCAGTCGATCGCGGTTCCGTCTGATGCAAGCCGACCCACGCAGTTTTTCAGTGGCATAGTGATTGTTTTGGACCCTTTCGCCCTCGCGAATGTTTTAGTTCAGAAGATCTGCAACGCAGAGGTTTTTTTCCCACTGACACTGTCGACGTCCATTTAAATAAGTCAGATCTCTTTTTTTTTTTTCCTCACTCGAATCGCACAAGTCCTACAAAACATTTTTCTTAGTGAAAGGTAAGATGTAGGATGGTATTTTTGCAATTTTTATCCGTGACTTTTTTTTCACGGGATGAAAAACACCGTGTGATTCCAACAGGAGTAGCTTTAAAAAGAAGTTCAAATGCTTCGCTGTTGAGCCATGGGCAATAAAATCAATTTTTTTCCTTGATTTTCTATTCTAGAATTTGTGAAGCCATTTCTACGTCTTTTTTTAAATGCAGTTAGGTGTTTCCAAATCATCGATCAAAGTGAACTGTTTTTTTGTGTCACCAACAAACTGAGGAAAATGGACTAAACTGATTACTTGCAAAAGACGTAGACCCAATGATATTCGCAAATATTTTTCTCTTTTGGTGTGGACCTTACTAGGGGCTCAGGTCCTTTTTAATGTTACCTAGGTTTTCATCGTTTTTGAAGTTGTTTGTGTTTTTTCAGCTATAAACTTCAGATAACACCAACGTTTAATTCAACTCGATAACGTTGTTTTCTCTGGTAGTACCACTCCTATTTTGATTCACATTTCCTCCGGTGATGTAATTCATAGTGACGTATTTGGTGTTTCTAGTTGGTTTTCATTTGTTCCCAAATGCTAAAAGGCTTGCTGTACATTACTGACAGAGCTAATTAGCGAAATCATCTAGACCTCTTCGAGCTTCCTGAAAAGTAGAATCGGGAAAAAAGGAGGCGAACTAGCAAGTGATTACATGTTTCTTTCACTGTTAGTGGTTGCTACATTCACCATTATACGTTGGCTATATCCCAAAATGTCAATCCAACTCTGTTAAAGCTAAACAGGGTATTTTTTTTCCACTAGATAACTATATTTTTTTTTCGGTTGATTTCTAGGTAGCAATTGTGGCTTGGCGATATCCATACTTATTTGATCACAGTTGAAAAAACCCAAACTGCGTTTCCCAGGTAAGCAAAAAGTGTGTTATCTACTAGGAAACAGCACGATTTTGTTTTCCAAAGGAAATTAAAACAATAAAAGGAATTTTTTGGCAAATTTTTTTAAAAGCTGTAGACGTAAGCCTCGGTAATAGTTTGCGAAAGAAACTTTTGTTTATTTTAATTCATTCCTTCCTTTAAAGCAAACTTTTAAGGTATTTTTTTCGTTTCCAGCCTTTTAGGTTGAAAGACCGGCATTGATAGGTGAAATGACATTGCATTTGGAAGACGTTTTTCAATTAAGAAAAGAAACCTTCAAATGTCGTGACATGCTTACTATTCCAGGAGTTGTTTCAAGCATCACGACTTTTTTTTTTTACGAGGTTCAGTTAGCTTTTCAGTTTGCATTTGCATACATAACGAGCTGAAAATAGATTCACCTTAAAAATTCACCAAGCCTGTTATTAGGATCAGGTGTCCACATTAATGTAAACAGGCCGCAAACAAAACACCGGATTAAGAAACAGCTAGATCTAGATTCTAGAAGGTGTAATGGCTCCATGGTCACTGTTATGCGGTTGATAATTATTCAGAAAAAAGATAAACTGTTTGTTCAAGTTTTTTTATTGTCGGTATGTATACCCTTTCTAGGAAAAACTGCATGTCTGCAGCAACTGCTTGGATTATTTCTTCCGATTCAGTAAGTAGATACAACTAATATATATTTTCTTTTCTTAATTTCATGAAATTCTTGATACGAAGCTTATGTAATAGATCCACTTTATTAGCGTACCGGTAAGCACTGTTGCCATAAAACCTTTTTTTAAGCTGTTGCAGATCCAGATGAGATCTTTAGGCCTGTATTTTGACGTTAACCAAAACACAATTACATTTAAGCCAACCTCATCTATATCTCAATTTTTTTTCATCATATCTGGCATATTGCTCAGAGATAACTTTACAAACAGTTTTTTTAAAGCTCTTAGTATTTAGGCATACGTTTCTGAGATTCTGTTTGTTTTTTTTATTTGAAAATTAAATGAATTGACTTTTGAAGGCCTACTGGACTTTTTTTATTGACTTTTTTTTAATGAATATAAGTTCTTCCTGCAAGGAAATTTTTTTAATATGTATATCGGACTGAGAAATGGGTGTTTAAAGTTTTCATGAGTAAGTACGGATAATTTGCATGGGTTTCACGTATCCCTTTTTTGAGTGTTTTCCGAGAGAAAATCGATAAAAATTTCAGAGGAAAATTTATGCGTTGATTTTTTTCCTTTCGTGACTCAGAATGTCCAAACACAGCTGGACTGCTATCTTTTTTTTCTTTCTTGAAAAAATATTTGATTAACTCTTTCAATAGCGTAATAACCAAGGAGGCTGAGTAAACTTTTACATTTAGGTCATAACATGTAAATGTCCTTAAGACGAAGATTTTTCGATTTTTTTTAAGAAGGACCAGAACGAATTTTTTTTTTTTTTCTCTCTTACCGACCGAGAAAATACCATTTTTGTTGCACAGCACGTGAAATATGAAAATTAACGAACTAATACATCATAGAATATGCTTAAGCGAATGACACCTTTCATGGTGGGTGACTTGCATTCAGAGCATTGTTTTTTTTAGCACCTGTTGGTAATTTTTTTTCTTTCAATTGAAGCAATCGATTTTTTTATTCTAGAGAAATTTTCGTAACTCTTCTCAAAATTATTGTCCTCTGATCCGTTTAGATAGATATTATTGTTGATGTTATTGTCATTGTTTTTGGAGTTGCTGTTGTTACTGTGGTTTTTTTTCAAAGATATTCAAAGGGAACAGTTCCAGCGTGATAAGCTACAGACTGAGGAAGGTGACTTAAGGCTCCTTCTTTTTTTACCTTTTGTAACGAGTGCGTTGTAAAGTGGTTGAAAAATACAATGAAAATAACGAATTGTGGCAGATTGGCAGAATATTTACCGGTTCAGTTATTTTTTTTAACAGCTTTTTTAATGAGAAAGTGTACAAGTTGTTATTGTTTTTTTTTTTATGCAGGTAGATTCTCCAGTTTTACCCACATTAAGTGAGTTATATTACTCACTTAATGTTCATGACGATAAAAATCAACGGTAAAACACGACGTTTCGAACGTGCTTCGGTCATTGTCAAGTGAATGGAATGAAATACAGTAAAGATATATATATATACACGTAGGAAATATAAAAAATTTTTTGCAGGTGTAAACAAACGATAAAACTACAAAGAAAGTGCTAGTAAAAAGCTAATTAAAAACCTTAGCACGAATTGAATCAGACTGTACATTGAGAGCAGGTCTTAGCTTGTGAATAAAAAACATCTCATAGACGAGACAGTCAAATTTGTTCGTGCACTTCATTAAGGTGCTAAAGTTCTTTGTAAGATCCTTTGGAGTCAAAGAATGTTTGTCGCGAAAATGTTTGCCAATTGATGAAGAGGAGTTTTTATGTTCTTCTTTTTTTTGGTGTAGATGACGGCGTGTGAAACCAACATAACCTGCATCGCTTTTTTTACATTGAGATTTTGTAAACAAGGCACTGTTGGTTCACAATCGGCGGCTTAGCTTCTCGCAATTTGAGGTCTCGACCAATATTCTGGCTAGCAATTTTTTTTTGTAAGGTCGTCTGGATCCTATGACTTAGATCTTTAAGTTGGTTTTTTTCAATATCAGCGGATGCTTGATCTTTATACGGTAGCACAACGCGTTTTTTTTTCGATCGATCGCTGACAGCAGGTTAGGAACCTGGTTGATCAGATACTTACAACCAGTTTCCTTAACGTCGTGTTTTACCGTTGATTTTTATCGTCAAAAGTTTTAATGTTCATGGAAGGAAATTGCAAGTCCACCAGTATTTTTGTGAGCAAGGAAGTTGTTTTTAGTTGGATGAAATCGTTTACCTCCCGCAGAAAGTATTTTCTGATTAGCGTCGGACCACGTCGAAATGAAGTTTTAAAACAAATCCTCGCTTGTCGATTTCAAAGTATTACGATAAAGAAGCTTGATGTTATGGGCAAAATATTGTTGCTTATTTTTTCTTGGCCAAGTACGATGATACAAAGCGACTTGAAATTTTGGATTTCCTCATAATTCAACTCGTTTTCAATGTACTTTTTCCTCATTCAGAATAGTGAAGATTGATTTTGAGATCATACGGTTTTTTTAGGCAAATCATCATAGGAAAACTCGCCACTTGCTAATTTTCCCTTGTTTCTATAATTGAAGCTGATTTGCAGAACATTTTTAAAAGGATAACATATCCCAGAACCTCGCTGTGTGTTCGAATGTAATGTCATCAACATGCAGCTTTATGTTGCAAACTGCTGTCAGCTGGGGGTTTACCTCATCGGAAAGTTTTTGGCACAATACCTCAATCCGACATTGGAGAGTTAAATGAGAAGGTACTTACTGACGCCTTTCGATTTGAGAATTTTCCAACGAAAACAAACTGTTGACTTAACACTCAAAAACTACAAGAGACTTCAAGGTTTTTTCCACGCAGCCCCATTTTTTTTAATTCGGAGTTCCATGCGCATCTGAAAGCCTAAGGTTAGGATTTTTTTTTATTTCTGTCATGAAAAAAAGTTTCAGAGGTGTTTCTCATGGATTTTTTTAGAAATCGCATGACTGAGGGGTTTTCGCTAATTATTGCTAACGTTTTTTTTACTAAGGATACATGAATCAGTGCGCAATTTTTTTTCTTCATTGCCAATTTCATAGTGTTGAACATTTGCAGTTAACTGTGTCAAGGGAAGTCTTTTCGTAAAGTCTTCATTTGTTTTATTTTTGTAACCCTCTCTATCATTCATGAGTTTATCGCAATTAGTGTGGTCGACAGTTTCTTCTTCCACTAGTGCAGCTTTTGTCTGTGACTTAATCCTTCTCACAAGTAGTTGTCATGGAGCTTCAAAGAGCTGAGAATCGTATCATCCTTTTTGACTTTGGATTTTAAATCTTGGGAGGAAAAATAAGCTTTTTCACCTGTCCATGTTTTTCATGATATTTATATTTTTGTTGTACTTTCGTTTCTGTAATTACCATTTATATTAGCTCTTTGGTATCAATTTAAAGACTAATGCCTCCTAAGGAAGCTCACTTAAAAAAAAAAAAAAGTACAAATAAGAATGAAAAAACAAAACCTAATTATCCAAAGATTTGAATACCTGTGTTGGGTGTTTTATAAACTATTTCCCAATTAGTTGTCCTCTTTTTTTACAAAAATCCATTATGATGAAAGATAAATGCATATTGTTTTATGTATTTTGCAGAAGTTTAGAAAGTTGCAAGGAACTTATTATTATGATAATTACTATTTATTTATTTGTTTATTTTTAGCCTTTTACATAAAATATATATTTTTTTTTTTTGTGGAGCACAATCAGCTTGGTTAGACTGTCGAGAAAATTTTTTTTTTCATCCCATTTGAAGTCAACCCAACAGTCTATGAAAGCTTCTATTCATTTTTTGACAATAAAAAAGGCAATAGCAAATTAAAAGTTTTCAATTTTAAACAGCATTCTTAGCCTAGAACAAAGTAGAAAATTGATAAAAAATATTGGTTTATCCAGATTCGGGCAGTCCATAATTAAGTTGAACCAATCTTTAGTAACTAAATTGATTATTATCTAGCAAATGTCAGGTGAGGGGAGGACATCTAAAGGTAAAGAGGAAAGAAAACGGCTTAATTCGTCTTTCAAGGTGCATTTCTCCAGTATTAGAAGTTTTTGGGAAAAAGGTATTGTTTACTTAAATTTTCATTTTTTTTCGTTATTGTCGTGCGAGGTCAGCTCTACCATTATTTGTCAAAACTTCTCTTCATGTCTTGACAACATTGCGTGTGCTAAGGTGTGAAAAACGAAGGCCACAAAGAAAAATTGATATTTACGAAAATAACGTCAAATTAACAGTTTTTTTCTTCAATGTTAATTTTTTTTCTTTTTTCTTTTTTTTTTTTACTTTTTTTTTTTTTATGATGTTGTACCTCGCAATAATGTGTTTTGTAATCTTTTTTTTTTTGGACAACCATTTCTTTTTGCAACTCTCGCTCATGTTTAAATTTTTTTTAAAAATAGGACTTTTTTGTTGGGCTAGGAGAGGGAAAGAAGTAGCTTTCTCAGCGTAGACGTACAGCAAGCAGGAGAAAAAAGCGGATGGAAATTTTTTTTTTTTGTATAGGTTACACTGCGAGAGAAAGGCTTGTGATTTAGTTTTTTTTCTAAACACTAAATTGTTTCAGTGGTATATTTCGTGTTTTTCTTTTAATATTGGATAGACCCGGCGAGCCTTGAAACAAATTAACAGCATTGTTCGTTACGACTTGAATGAAAGATCATCGCTTCTCGTAGATATGCAAATTATTTTTTTTGCATTTTCAAATGAAATAAAAAAAATAAAAAATAAAAAAATAAAGCCCATAAAGGTAATGAGGCGATAGGTTGAGAGAAATTACAAAAACAGAGAAGAAAAGGTTGATTTCGATTGCTCCTTAAAAGTGCTGAGTGCATCTGTTTTTTTAGTTGGTTTGTTTTCACTTGATGAGCGGCAAGAAATTGAATCGTTTTTTTTTTCTTGAACGATTTACAGTGGGCGGTCCTAAATTATTATTAATTTTTTTAACTCGGGACGTATGCTTCGCACGGCAGGAATTGTTATTTTAATTTTTTTTTCACGGCTGCCTGGCTGGAAGAGT